TAATTTGATTGGTAATTCTTTTTTTTTTTTTTTTTTATTATTTTGACTATTGATTATTATTGTTGTTTTTTTTTTTTTATTTTTTTTTGGTTTTATTATATTGATCTGACTTAATAGCATTCATAATACTCTTGACATTATTAATTTCTCTGAATAAATTACCCATATTCTCTGAATTAATTACGTACCCATGTATTATATGATGTTCTTCTACCACCTTTATACCTGTTTTATGCAAATAATAAATGATTTGATTTTGATTTTGATTAAAGAAATCCTATGTCCTTTGTGTTTAATCCGGGCAATGTGTGTTCAGTCATGATTACAAGATGAACGGTATATTAACTAGGAAAAGGTTTCTGTGTGGCCGTGGTATCATTGGAGTCGAGCCGCCCCGTTTGTGCCGCAGCATGGCTCTGACACGAATAAAATATATGGTTGCTCCGGGACGCCTAACTGGTTGAAGATCCAACAGGGGTCAAACGCCTGTTAATATCGCGACTGTATATTGATGACTAATTATACTTTCATCATCATCATCATCAAGAGCCTTTAATGGTCACTTCTGGACATAGGCCTCTCCTTTTCCCTTAAAAAGAGGTTTTGGCCTACTATACCACGCTGGCCAGACGGGTTTGGTATAGGGTTTGTTTAAAGTTTTCCTTCTCTTTGCAGTGCTGCAGGGTTTTGCTCCCTTAATCACCCTCTAACGACACTCACGGGATGAATAGGGGTGATGACACTCTGTATTCTGAATCCGTCATCACACGACAATGGATGGAAACGCCACGCGGGTTGAAGTATAACACACACGACTAAAAAGCATACTACAGGACTACGATTTTTAGTGCGTTTTTAATCAAATTTTAAGTCAGCTATTCACACTGCAGTTCACCCGTAATGAGTCACTGGTGTCAAACTTTCGCGATCCATGATCAATGCATAATTATTATAAGTATATTACATATCTTTGATTTGACTGCCGCATTTAAACCCCAATGGCTCGGATCGTGGTCATACGCTGACCGTACCCATATGAATAATTTTGAATTACTGGATAATTTCTTACCCAACTATTCGAATATGCTGTCCTTGTATTCCTTAAAACCGCCGTAAAACCACATCAATGAAACATCGTCTTAATTCTTTATCGTCTCCATCAGATCCTCGTGCGATAAAGGACATCCCTCGATCACGTCACACTAATAATATAACAAGCTGAAGGAAACGGAACGAACAATTCGACTTAACTTGAGAAGTTATAAAAAGTCTCGTTGGTTAAAATTATAAGTATGGGAGGGCAAACAAGGAAGGATCACTTGATGGTAAGTGACTGCCGCAGTCCATGGACACCTGTGACTCAAGGGTTACAAGAGTTTTGCCGCTCTTTGAGTCCTCAGAGGGAGGGAGGAGTGGGGCTCCGGTAACATCACACACTTCTTGAAGGGCAACGACATTACAGCATAACCGTTTTTTTATGAGGCCGTGGTATTACTCCAGTCGAGTCTGTCCATTTGTGCGGCAGTATCTACAGCTGTGCCATGGTCAATTATTAGCGCTCATTCAAACAGCATAATATTTGATGTACATGTGTGTGGTTTTTTGAAGTGAAAACTTTAAAAAAAACGGGCATATTAAACCAAAAAAAGAATGTATTTTATGTTTTAACAAAAAACACGTTTTTTGAGATGGGAAAACCCCATTGTACTCGTGACGGTGTTACCGTTAACGACACCTCTGTTAAAGTGAAAACTTCTTTAGGGGCGTTGGGCTTTTTTTTGAGATGGGAAAAAACAATTCAACGCCCGACACTGTTACCGTTACCGACACCTCTGTATATATGTTTTCACTTCTGTCGGCACTCCCGAAATGCCACTGTACTGATTCATATTTATTTATTTATTTTTATTGAGCAAGAGTTTAACTAGCTTTTTTCCCAAAATAGGTTAAAATTGGCGTTAAAGTCTACTACGACATGGCTAAACCTTGATTTTTTTAAGAAGCTCGGAGTGCTGAACAGATCGAGGCAGTATTTCACTCCTTCCGACCGCCTTCAGCACTATAAGGCGCAAGTCCGGCCGTATATGGAATACTGTTCTCATCTCTATGCAAGGGCACCTCAGTACCAGCTTCACTCTGCATTCTCTATCGCATATATCATGGAGAGTGCTCCGAGGAATTGTTCGGACTAATTCCGCCATCGTTCCACACGGCAAAATTTTCATCCTCATTACCTGGATAGTTGGCGCTTCACTACTGTGCGCTTTTCGAGACACTTTTTCGGACAACCAATCTGTGGAACGGGTTATCGTCTGCGGTATTTCCGGACCTCCGGTATTTCAAACCTTCATGAAAAGAGAGTACTCCTTCCTAAAAGGTCGGCAACGCGTTTGTGACTCCTGAGTTGCAGACGTTCATGGGCGGCGATGGTCACTTTCCATCAGGTGACCTGTCTGCTAGTCTGCCCCCTCTAACATAAAAAAAAAGTGCAGCGAAGCCATCAGACCTCCACAAAATAAGTACTGGGCGATATCGAAGTTAAGTTAAGTAAGTTGTCATACTTTAAGGGGTTCCATCTACCCTTAAAGATTGCTACAGATGTCTGTATAACAACCGGGGCTGACGGCTCAACGTGCTCTCTTAGGCATGGAAGCGTCTTAATGTGTTGAGAATGGTCACCCATCCATAGACTAACCTGACTTGGATTGCTTAACTTTGCAATGTGCTAACCTACTCATAAGAATTACATATCTATTTTTTACAGTTTTATATGACGTAAGTGTTTTTTTCTTCATGAGGATGTTTTAAATAACTTTTTTTTTTTATGTTAGAGGGGGCAGACGAGCAGAAGGGTCACCTGATGGAAAGTGACTATCGCCGCCCATGAACTTAAGCAATTTAAACTTTCGCGATATAAATATCTAATGTACCAGTTTGAATCGTACCTACATACATTGGCAAAAGTCACTACCAACGCCGACCGGATGGCGTAGTGATTTGTGTAACGGATTGCTATTCTAAAGGTCGCGGGTTCGATTCCCGCTCAATTCAAACATTTGTGTGCATGAACTTTTAATGTTTGATTTGGTCTGGGTGTTTCTGTGTATAATATGTATTTACAAAAAAAAAGTATATATGTATTTATATCAGTTGTTTAGTACCCATAGTATAAGCTCTGCTTAGTTTGGAATTACATGACGTTGAGTGAACGCGGTAGAATATTATTATCCCTGAACAATTGACACATTATTTTTTCTACACCAACTCTGAGAGAAACTTTTTACCAAACCTTTATGTGAATACATAGAGACTGCACTAGTAATGAATTTTAAGCGTACTGATTACTTTCACTGATATTATAAGAGATCGGCGACTGGTAACACTTTTAATAAGTTTACAAACCAAACCATCAACGTTACTCTCCTAAATAAGATTAATGTGTCAAAATAACCCGAGTAATAATCTTATAGCAACAGTAGGTAACGCAAAACATTCCCTCCTGTTCACATTAGCGGCCACGCAGCCGACGCGCTCTCGGCTTTCATCAACACTCAACAATGAACGCGTCATATCAACATTTAGGTATACAAAAACATCTTAAAAGCAACTAATGATGCTGAAAATGTACTTTCAAGTGCCTTTTAAAAATGTAATACTTTGATTTGACTTCAAAATGGCATTGAACACGATTGTACTTCTTCGTGAATTATTTGACGTTTATTGATGCGTTCGAAAATATTCCTAATATGAATTTTACTTTTTTTTCGATTTAAAAAAAGCATCTATCTTGAGTACCTGACTTTTAAGTGGTAAATAATTAAGCTAAATATTTAGTAGTTACATTGTTTTTAATACGTTTTGGAATTAAAATGTCATCATAGCGTTTGATATAAATTAAATCATGTTGCCTTTGTACGAAATTGTATTTAATCTGACACTTTGTATATATGGTGGAACAGGTTGTCATGTCACACATGACGCATACAAATATTTTGTACAATCGAACCCACTACCTCTGTAAAATACTATTTCATTTATTCAAAATGATCACGCAATGATAGAAAGTAATTGCATAATAAAATGCCTAATCTTAAACTGTATTATTAAAAAAAACGTAAATATAAATTGTTGCAGATTTGATATCTAGGTCACTTCAGTGATTCAGACTTAATATTGCTTAAGAATTCATATTTACTTATGATGTATATTTAGTTTAAAGCGCCGTAAACAAAAATATTTCCTATAAAAATCACTATATTCCTAAAATATAAAAATCCTCAACTAAATAGAAAAAAAAACCCTAGTTTACTACACTACGAGTATGATTACTACACTGTTTCTTTAGTCTCACAGTTGTGACGATTGTGACGATTTATCTCAATAAAAATTTATTTCAAGTAAAAACAGCTTTTTACAAATCGAACTGATCTTTCCAAGAATCCCAGTTACAAATATAGAAAGAAATTAAGTTCAATTTTTGGTAAACAAATTCTATCTGCCTTAAGAAACTGTTCAGAAACTTTTTTAATATAGTTTTAAAAAATGTAAAAAGCTAAGATCTACTACAGATTATTGAATCGTACATTTACCGTATAATTTAAATTCTTTACCGTATGCTTATAGGTAAATATCATACGTTATAATTCAATTTATTACACATAGATTGCAACCTCGTTTTCAATTACTTTTACAAAATGAAAATATTCAAAAGCCTTGAGAGGAAAACACTTGTTGAATATCAATATTATAACAGCGGTGTGATGGTTTCCACCCATTAGCTACCAATGTCGTACCTAACACGTGCCGGGATTATTTATATAAGCCAAAATAACGGTCAACATGTGTGATTCACACCTTATAAAACATTGAAGCGTATATGTATTAATAACACCCCGTATTTAAAAACACAAATCGCCGCCAACTTTCAAAGTGAAACTTAAAAAACATTCACAAAATAAGACACTATTTTTTCTAATTAATAAAACGCACTAGTGACGTACCACTTTTCCCGACAGAGGGCGCGCCGATCACAGCGACTTTGACTTCGGACAGAGACGACTTCTTCCTTCTGATCCCTCTAGCGGACATCTTCCATGATCCACGCGACGCTCTCCCTCATCGGCCACACCACGATTGCGTGCGAACACGAACAAAAAGCTCGTGTGCCCCCGATCTATAAATACACGGAGCGACACTCTGACATCGGCTGCGTGTTAATAGGTCAAGATCTGGCCAAGATCAGCGTCGTTCGAATAGCTCTGTTTACTTGCTTCCTTGGTGGTGGTGGCTGAGCCAATTTCCTTCACTCAAATGTCCCTCATTAATTATCGCCAAACACAGTTCTTATTTTATCATGACACACTGAAATGTTGATCTTTTAATCAGAGAGGCAGAGTTACGGGTGGTTGGGTAGGTGTGCCTCTGACGGAGTTTAGAAGCTGACTGCATCTGATATCCATTTAAAGTTACTTAAATCTAAACATATCGTTGCGTACACTAAATAGATGTTGACTTAATTAGGCCACAGCAAAGCTAGTAAATTGACACCTAAATTAACATATTGTGTTACCTACTCGTTGCAGGTCATTGAGCGTGTATAGCATGACACTCGTTAATTAGAGCTGTGTTTACGCCGCAAGGTCTTTGGGAGAGGGATGTAATGTAGGTAGTTAATCTTTAACGACAACGTATGTTTAACCAACGCACAAAATTAACCCAAAATAAATATACAATAGATATTGAATAAATCATTGTTATTTCGGGGATTGTCACGATTAGAAAATATTACATTTGTTTCAATTGTCTGACGTTTCAACCAGCTTGCCTGTGGCAACAGGATCGCAGTCAGTGACAGGAAAAAATATAGAAAACTAGATGACCAGGTGAACTTTCTGCCACCTACAAACTATTTATTTGTCAGCTAACGATGTCGATTCTTTTTCATAGTGACATTATTTATTTGCATTTTTTTATGTCTAAATATACGTGTGGTGACGACTTAAGAATACGAAATGTCACCATCCCCGTGGGTGTCGTAAGAGCTGTCTAAGGGATCAAACTTCGCAGGACAACAACACTGCAAAAAGAAGGAAAATATGACACAAACCCTATACCAACTCGTCTGGCCAGCGTGGTATTGTAGGCCAAAACCTACTTTCTAAGGAGAGGCTTATGTCCAGCAGTGGACTCCTAAAGGCTGTTGACGTGATGATGTTACAGAAATACACGATAATTCGGACTTTGTGTATAATAATATATGTTGTCGATTCGAAACCGTTATAAATGTTGTATAATTTATCATAGAAGGAAAAGTTTGTATTAGAAAATGAAATTGTTGTTTTAACAATTTTCGTCGCATTTTTTTATATATTCTCACCGTTTAAACTTTCCAAGGACTTCCACAAATATATCAAGACCAAATTTAGTAAAATCACTACAGCCATTCCCGTGTTTTAGTAAGACTAACGAAAAGCAATTCATTTTAATATACATTTTATAAAACCTGCCAACATCAATTTTTAATATTTACAATCAATGATAATTTTTATACGCTGTATTAATATTAAAAAGTGTGAGTCTGGACGAATCACGATAATATTTAAAGAGGATATAATCAGAAGGTAAAATATCTCCTAATATTTTGTTATTCTTTTTATTTTTACATAAATTACATTCAGTGCCAGGTTTGTTGGTTGTCAACAGCTCGTGATAATACATATTTATTGATTTTGAGACAGGTAATGCGTTAAGCACGCTTATGACTGTATGACGCTTACGACGCTTATTTAGGAATGTATTATTTTTGTTTTTTTTCTTTATAAAAAAAAGGACTCCTGCACTAGGAATTGTCACTGTCCTGTGTCACGGGGGACTTTTACAAACGTACTTAAAACGGACATAAAGAACACCCAGACTAAAAACGACAATTTGTGGATCTCACAAAGTGACGTCCCATGTGGGGATCGATCCCACAACATTCAGCGTAGTAGAAAGCGGCCTGAAGACCGCTTAAACCGGTATTATATTACGGCTAATGTTTACACTTTATGCTGCAATCCTGTTACAATTGATCGCCAAAATAAAAACCTTGTATTAATGTGAAATTTTAAACAACAATTTTACATTTGGCTATTCTACTAAAATTAATGACTCACAAACTAATCATAGTTAACCCTAAAATAGAGAGTGGTCCTTTATGCGTCTAGAAGAGGTCGGCTAGGTGGGCCAACCAAGCTCCTTCCGGAAGCGCAGAAGCACCCTGGGACGTTCACAGGCTTCTAGGAGCGATTCCGTACCAGGTATGGTACTTGCCCGTTGTGTGGCCACTCCTTCGCATTCCTTGATTACGTGGGCGGTTATTTAAGCAACTGTTTATATAATAGTTAAAAATAAAACATCTAATTCCTACAATACTATTGTTAAAACTTGAACAAACATAAAATGCCAGAAGCAATCGTGTAATATTAGCATGCTCGCTGAGATTTGCTGATAATTTACTAGATTTGGCATTTGAATATAATTTAAAGTGCAGTCATGACGAAAACACCTAGAACCATTGTAATTTTAGACTATCTTTGATTGAACATGTTTAGTTTTGTTTTTTTTTGTTTGGCTGCAAATTATTTCTTGGTTGTCATTATATTTAATCTATACAAATAAATAAAATTGAGCTTTATGGTTCTAATGCCAAATAATAGTTTTTTTTTCATTCTCACACGGTTATTTGCACGATACTTATGCCTAGAAACAAGTTTAAATATTTTTGTCTGCCTGTTTGTTCCAGTCAAAACCGCTAGACCGATTTCGATAACATTTTACTACCAGGTAGCTGACTATGTAAGGAGTAACTTAGGCTATTTGGCCTCTCAGAAAAACCCTAACCCTCCCCAAAAGTCGCGGGCACCAGCTAGTCCCTTATATTATTAGTACATCATAATGTAATGCAATTAGTGAAAGCTGAAACATACTCGTACAATTTGTTTTAATGTACGAGGGGTGATCAATAAGTAATGATAATCGAGTATTTCTAGAACGTACAAAAACCCAAATTATTTTTTTTCTGCTTGCTTATATATCCACTACTTCAGCTTCAAAAAAATGTATAAATAGGACACCATTACCGGGAGATACATTCATTTGAATACGAACTGTCGAAGAGAAAACATCAAAAAAAAAGAGAGAAATTAAATAAGAGCTGTCATCAAGTACCTCTGCCTGAAAAAAAATGTCTACCAAAGACATTCACAGCGACTTAGAGGAAACATTGGGTGGAATCTGCTCCTCCATATTCCACAGTCGCACGCTGGGCAAAGGAATTTAAGCTGGGCAGAACCTCCACTGAAGATGAACATCGCGAGGGACGCCCTTCCACGTCCCTTACTGGAGGAAAACGTCAAAAAAGTGGAAGATATCGTGTTGGCCGATCGAAGGGTGACCGTAAGGCATGTAGCTGAGGTCCACAGGGATCTCCTATGGCAGCGTTCAAAAAATCATTGTCAACAAAATGCATATGAAAAGGTCTCTGCGCGTTGGGTACCGAGAATGTTAACCGACGAGCAAAAAAAAGAAACGAGTCGACATTTCGAGGGTGAATCTTCAAAAGTTCCAGGCCGATAAAGAATTTTTTTTGTCACGTTTTGTGACCATGGACGAGACCTGGATCCACCACTTTGATCCCGAAACCAAACAACAATCAATGACTTGGAAACGAGCTTCCTCACCAACGCCGAAGAAATTCAAAGTGTCAAGTTCAGCGGGAAAGGTTATGGCGTCTGTTTTCTGGGATGCAGAAGGAATTATTATGGTGGAATATTTGGAAAAGGGGGCAACTATAACAGGCTCTTACTACGCAGGCCAAATAAGAAGATTGCGAGAAGCTATTAAGTCAAAAAGACGCGGTAAACTGCGCGCTGGAGTGCTGTTTCATCAAGACAACGCCCCGGCTCACAAAGCCGCAGTTGCGATGGCTGCCATTGAAGAAACGGGGTTCGAACTGCTCGAACACCCTCCCTATTCGCCAGATCTAGCTCCCAGTGACTTCTACCTCTTTCCTCGGCTCAAAGAACACGTCCGGGGCAACAAATTTGAGGACAATAGTGAAGTGATGGCCGCAGTAGAGGCATTTTGGGAGGGTCAAGACAAAGAATTTTTTTCTAAGGGAATCATGGGCTTAGAAAAAAGATACACTAAATGTATTAACTTGCAAGGAGACTATGTTGAAAAATAAAATACTTTTTTTAATCTAATAGTTCTGTTTCATATTGATTATCATTACTTATTGATCACCCCTCGTACTATAGCTCACTATGAAGCTGACAGATATAATACGATTATACATTATGTATAGGCCCCGCGTCGTTACGAGTCAAGAGCGGTATTGATAAAAAAAAAGAAGTGTCAAATTTTGTGTGTCATAGTATGATTCTTTAAAACTGAAAATTGCCAAAAAGAAATCATATAGGAGGAACTTTCTACGACTTTTTTTCTGTAATATACAATAGAAAAAGAGGTCCAAAAACTTTTCAAAATACAAAAAAGATCCCACAGACATAAAGTCACTTGTTTATTTTGTTATTATTGTCGTATGTTAATTTTCTTTTTTTATCAGTTCTAAGACGAACCTTCGACCTTCATTGATGATTAACACGTTACTTGACTTTCAATTTAATTCAGCATCTATTTATTTCTGTGAAACACTTGCATGAAATAAAGACATGTGACGTCACAATTAACCGATTTCAAAGACACAAAAGAGGAGGTTCTCAATTCGATTGTAATTTTTTACTATCGCATCAGTTACTTTGAAAATTGAATAACAAACTTGAAAATAAGAAGAACATAACATTTGAGACTCTTTAAATTTTTTGTATCCAATGCATATCGGACCTACGTAAATATGATCACGTTCCGTAAAGCTCAAGTGGAAAACAAGCCGCTATGACGGAATCTTAGATTACGTAATACTCGTATACCCTTATATTGCTAAACAATTTTAGTTCAAACGATCGAAGCCTCATTACTTCGAGAAGCGGTTTAAATTCCCTTATGACCGACATATGAAATGCCTGAAAACTTGAGACTGGAAACGA